TTTGGGGGTTTAGGGGTTTATGGGTTTAGGGTTTAGGGCTTTGGGTTTAGGGGTTTAGGGATTAGGGCCTAGGGCCTGTAGGGCCTGTAGGGCCTGTAGGGCCTTTAAGGTTTCGGGTGTCGGATGAAGGCTCTTGAAGGAAGGATTTGAGGTGTTGGCTTTGAAGGCTGCCACGGTTTAAGGGTTTAGGGTTTAGGGTTTTGGATTCGAGGTGTTGGCTTTGAAGGCTTGAGAAAAGTGGGTGGCTGCTCCTGTCCTGGCAGACATCCAGGGCCGGGGTTTTCCTGGCCGTTCCCATCAAACACACCTTTACCATAATTTAAGAATGTTTTCCTCGACCAGAACTGGAGCCTTGCAACTAGAAGCCGGCCCGCCCCCAGCCCCAACCGAGAAACCCAGAGAGCCAAATACAGAAATGAGGAACGCTGAATTATGTCAAGGGTTTAGGCTTCAGGGTATTATAGTTTATGTGGGTAGCTTGGGCTCTTCGCGAAAGTCCTAAGGTCCCGAAGATGAACATATCTGAACAGCGGTCCAAACGTCCGTGACCAGCCAGGGGCCCTCCCACCTGGGTGGCCAGAATTGTCTGGCTGGGTTGTCAAAGCTGGCAGGGGTTTTGGGTAGAAACGTGATACCATCCAAATTCAGTTCTTGGTACCCTAACCCTTCTTCGGGGTATCTAACAGACATAACTATAGCAGACCACAGGAAGTCGGATGTCCGCATTCTCGCCTCTCGCCAGAGAGTCTAGGAGCCATAGAAGACTCGTGTTTGGGCTTACGGTTTATGGTTTAGGGTTTAGGGGCTTCGGCATATTTCGAATTGAGAGTCTCCGGCTCTTTTTATCAAAGGATTTCAGGGCATGCAGCGGGCACCTGGACTCTCACAGCGCTTTCAAGCGAAGCGTCTAGGGCTTCTCAGCACAAAGCAATGAAACGGCCTGGAGTTGTCATCATCTCCGGCTGACCGCTCTTCTGAAACTGCATAAATTCTCTAAGTGCGGTTTTCATCCCAAAATGACAGAGGGCTCTTACTTGCTATAGCTCAAGGAACACCCCAACCCTAAACCCCAATACCCTAATACCCCAAACCATGAAGTCAGATTCAAGGGACAATAGGAGGGATCCATAGAGGGACCCTAATCCCAGTACCCTATATAACCCTTCTATAACCCTTATATACCTCTTATGTAGCCCCTCTACAACCCCAAGGGTCCCTTTAAGGGTCCCTCCTTTCGTCCCTTGGCAGCCTACACCCTAAACCCTAAACCCTGAACCCTAAACCCTAAACCCTGAACCCTAAACCCTAAACCTTAAACCCTAAACCCTAAACCCTTAACAGATGCCCGCCAAAGTTTCCCAAGGCGTCCGGGGCACTCTGCACTTTCAGAGGGACCACGCCCTCCACAGCGGGCGACTTCAAACTGCCAGGCCTGTGAGGGGCTCGTAGGAAGAATATCCGGGCTTTCAAAAAGTAATATAGGGGCCTTAATACTTAGACTAGGGTTTTGGGGTTCCTTTAAGGGTTCCTTTAAAGGGTTCTATAAGGGCTACTATAGGGGTTTAGGGTTTAGGGGCCTTAATAATTAGCGTAGGGTTTTGGGTCCCATTATACTAGAACATTAGGAAAGGAACCTCCAGAATACTATAGGTGATTATTTAGGCCCCTATATCAGAGCATAATTACTAATATACGGTCTTGGTGCATATCATAGTGTAACCATAATAGGGACGAGAAGCAGGTAAGGATTACTCAGAGCTTAAAATGCTTTGGAGTTTGTAGGCTTTGGGTTCTGAAGCAAGCTCTTGCGGGCTTTAGGGTGGGGGGAGGGGCAGTCGAACTCGGAACTACTTTGTTGCCACACTGACTGAAACTTCAGATGGCGGAGTGTTCGACCTTTAAACCGGCAAGTTTCATGTGCAAGACTGGTAATCTACAAGCCTGAATACTTACCAACATTATTCCTTATCTTTATAGTATAAAGGAGCCCTAAACCCTATTCTAATTATTGAGGCCCATTTTTCATCAAGCTCCAACATGCACATGCTATCCTACAAGAATGAAGAGTTCAGCTTCTTGGGGTTGCCGAGTAGATCTTCCCCCGCGTGAAGAAGCATTGCACCCTACACCCAGCAAACAAAGCAGGGACCTTAATCATCAGAATACCGTTATGGGGTATATCATACTTTATTATCATAAGGAACCCCTGGTAACTATTTACACCCTATATTAAACCAACAGCTCCCACCCTTAGCTTCGCGATGCTTCGCGCCTGGCCGTTGAAGGAAATCAGCCGCACATCCCCAGTCACCAGCAGCGCACCGTCAAGGACGGCTTTGAGATACCTTGCTTAAAGGAAACTACAGGTGGAATGTTTAGGGTATATAGTTTCTATAAGGTATATA